AGCAATTATGCATTTGGGGATACTTCTGGTCGTGATGATCCGCCAAGGACTGCTCCGGTTAGGGAGAAAGTGTCAGGTCTTTTTCCTTAATCTGAGATATCGGAGACACCTTAGGTTTCGAAAAGTCACAATTGTAGCGTCTTCACAAATAGGTTAAAAAATTAAGAAGAACATTAATGCCTATTGTGTAATGTTACTATTTCTGTGTGCTGATTATGCGGAGGAGGTGGTGGGTACACTTTGACTGACTTAAGAATAAATGGCTTTTAGGCAGGATTCAATTATAAGAAGAAACCTGTAATTTATTAAAGTTCTACGGGGATCTTACTTGCTAAATGAGAGTTAGTCTCTCTTTATGTATATAGCTACTTAAGGCCACAACCTTGTACTATTTATATTACATACATATAATCATTATACTATAGTGTCTACATTTCCTTGACACACTTCCTAGACATATCAAGGTTACATTCAATACCATTTATTATAATTATTATTCTACTATGTAAGTGAGAGTGAGTCTTCATCATTATGGTGCTGATGATGACGATGATAGGCGGAGCTTCTATACTAACAACACTCTCTAGACAGAGACGTATATATAAAGATGTGTTATCCTATAGATATAGTTTAACATAACTATCGTAAACTATTTATGTACAGGTTCTCAACAGTAAACAAAATCGACCGTTTTGTAATCTTGAGGCTCATGTTGAAACGAAAAGAACTGCCATTATCACCAAGAAGACGTGACAAATGTCGAGATAATTACGAATCCTGGATTAATTTGTAAGTAGTGATGCAAGGAATTTGCAATTATAAAGATATCACTTTCTTGGCCCTTTCGGTGTCCTGTTAAACAATCCGTTAATCCGGTTCCGCTTTTTAGAAAATATTAAGCTGTTATTTAAACAAGCTGTCACTTGGCTAATAGAATGAATTATTAAAACCCTAGACTCCCTAAGGTCACAATTATTATAAGTTTCTACCCCAATAATGTCTGTAATAATATATACTGGCATGCAGTGTTCCGGGTGTGAATTACCGGGCGGTAATTACCGGCGGTAATTAACGGTAATTACCGTTAATTACCACCAGACCCTACTGTGAATAACTGTGAAATACTGTGAAAATCAAATTGGGGCATTGTGCGACACATTGCGTCATGTTATTTGTCTCAAGTTTTCCCGTTTTTCTTAGGTGAGGCAAAGCCGGAAAGCTGGGCCCCGCATCAAAAAGCAAATGCAAATATGCTCAAGTGGGGCCCAGCGAAGCTAAGAATGCATTCGTACTGGAGGCTGAAAAGGTCTCACAAGGTTTCAGCCAAAACGGTGCGTCAAATCAAAAAATGTAAAGAGGCAAAATAATTAGAGAATTCCATTTCTCAGATCCATCTTTTTCCAAAATTTGAAAATTTGAATTTTTTCCGCCATAAATTGAATTTTGAAACTTTCAAACGGCTGATGTCTGATAAAAATTTAATATTTTAAATTAGCATAATTTCTGAAATTATGCATCATCATAGGCTCTATTTTTCATGTATTACATGTTTAGGTCTAAAAAATTTATTGAATTGGTGATACACAAATTTACAATGTCAATTTGTTTACTATGAGTATGTGTGTTGAATAAGTACAGCGAAATAAATTTACCATTCAATACAGCTGTTAGCGTAGTGCAGGGGCAGGTGGCAGGTCTCTAGGGCAAGGGGTCGTGAGTTCCAGTCTCGCCAGGGGTGAAAAATTTTTGCAACTTTTTTTTAACTTCTGCATCATTGTATTTGCACATATTAATTTGATATTAATTTGCATCAAAACAAATTAGTTGCCACACCCCTCTGAATGGTGGGCGTGGTCAATAAAATAGTGTCAGCCTTTCTAAAAATATTTTTTTGCATATTTTTTTTGTATTTTGGCCTAAAACATAATTGTTTTTGACGACAGGCATCGTATGATTACTTAATCCCTCTATTTGATTTTGGATTTGAAATTTCATAAATTCATGTATCCTTTGGAGTTCATAATATATGGTTTTGATGAAGTAGATGCTGCAGTGCAAAATTTTTAGCTTTAAGCTTTACAATTAGGCACTTCTTCTTCATACTGAATTTTTGAAGCCCTACGCGTCAATACAATTCGTTGTTTAAGTAGTCTATCATGGGTTTTATTTTTAAAAAGCCAAATCCATCAGTGCGGTATCTCCTTTTGTAATACGCATATTTTAAATCGTCTCAAACTTGGTCGTCTCAAAATTTACCAGACCAAAAATCGAGTCAAATTTTAGTATTTTTCTTAGGTGAGGCAAAGCCGGAAAGCTGGGCCCCGCATCAAAAAGCAAATGCGAATATGCTCAAGTGGGGCCCAGCGAAGCTAAGAATGCATTCGTACTGGGGGCTGGAAAGGTCTCACAAGGTTTCAGCCAAAACGATGCGACGTATCGAAAAATGATAAGAGGCAAAATAATTAGATAATTCCGATCCTCGGTGTCTTTTGAAGTCAAATTTGGAAATTTCCCAATTTTGTTAGAAGAAATTGATGTTTTAACGGTTATAACTTACTGATTTTCAAAGAAACTTAACAAGCAGCAAAAGAAGCATAGACCTTACAGGAGTGCTCGTAGCCTAGTGGTATGGGCGAGCGCTTGTATTAACAGTTGCCGTGAATTCGATGCTCTCCGGCACCACAAAATTTTTGCCCGTTTTTGCTAATTTTTCCGTAATTCTTTTTACGCGCATACTTATTGGCATACATTCATTAAGGGGCCGCACCCCCAAAACTGGGTGTGGTTACTTGCGGGATTTATCTACTGCATTTTCTAAATATTTTTTCGTATTTTTGGGGCAGAAATCTGTTTATAAAATATCAAATATTTAGCTCATGTTTAGCCAGTAAACATATTTACAATTAATACGTATTGCGTAGCAGTAGTTAATGACCACACCCACTGGGGGGAGTTCAATGTATTGTAAATTAGGCCATTGTAGTGATCTCCATAGTCCGATAGTTTCTACTTCATTTTAAATATACTTATAACGTCAGTCTAACTCGCTATCCAGGGGGTTGCCCATGTTGACCACACCCCCTCCGGGGTAATGTGAGATTCTATTAACAGATAGTGCCAAATATTGGTAAGTTAAATTTAGGGTACTTTGTGGTTATGCCACAGTCAACCACACCCCCAAGTGGAGAAAAACGAGACTTAGCTGGAAAACAACTTCAAAATATCAAATAATAAATTTTGGGGGATTATCCGCATCCCCTCCAGTGTGCAATCAGATGATCTTAATAAACATCGCATAATATTATGATTACAAATTTGACGAGTCTGGGAGTTAACAGTGACAATAAGTACACCGAGAATTATACTATTACATCACTAAACACGTGGTTAAGGCGAGTCAATCTTGGTTTAGCTGAGGAGTAAGCCATACTTACATTTTTTCTTTAATTATTCCAATTTACAGGGAGTCTACATTTATTGTGATCCTTCAATGGCCAAATCTAGGCCCTTTGGGGACCTAGACCGTTGGCGATTTTATATTTACTAAAACTGGTATACCCAAGGGGGAGGGGTCCTTGAGCTTCCCTCAAGTGCGCAATTTATCATTGTAAGGATTAAAATAAAGTCAAAAGGGAGGAGCTAAATTTAAAATATCTAACACGGGGATTTTGGGAGAAACACCCCCGATCAATCCCTTTAGTATGCCAGTAATCTATGCGACTCCAATATTTTTCGGTGATGCCAGATGTGTTTTACAAAACTCGTTGATCTTCTATCATTATATTTGTTAATTTTTACGCGGTGTGACTAAAGAAAATGAATTATCGCATTCATAATTCATATACTGAAACGTATTTTACTTGAGGTTATAGAAATAAGGAAATCATTTTAAAGCTAGAAAATAAATATTTTTACAAAAAAACACTCTTAGGTGCGGCAGTGAATATCGCGAATAAAAAAAAAACAAGTAATTTTATCGGTATATTTTATTAAGTAACGCATTACAGGATTGACTTGTCGCATTCGCCATAACTATAACGCGATATTATTATTATATTGCCTCGCCGTGGGCCTATAAGTGTAAATATTTCCATCAGACAAGAGAAGTAAGTTAATTACAAATCAATTTTTACGATTCAATAATATTTCCGGCATAAAACACACTTAGCCATCTATACTAATAAATAGATGTAACTTTGTGATGTTTTAATTGATTTAAATTCTGCATTTATAATTCTTGGTTTTGAGTTCGGCGAAACTACTACGGCGATCTCGCACAAAAATAATTGATAACGATAAATTAATTTCTTGCACGTCTTACAATTTATGATATAATCTCATTCTATGAGAATATATACAATGGCTACAAGTTTGAGTCGGAAATTAGCCTTTAATGTGCTACCGCCACTCGTCGGGCTATCTCTATTTATGATTAGTTTGGCCACCCCACAAAAACATTCAGTTACAATACTTGCCTTTCGAATGTCTACATCAATCTAGTTAGGACTTTCTAGTTAGGAATTTGATTATTCGCTTTCACTTAAACTATATCATAACTGTATCTGTCTATAACAAGTTTAAGTTATTGTGGCGTTGTGTGGTAAGGTTACAGTTGAATCAATACGATACAGCTCAGAAAAATAACGGGTTCCAGATTTATATATAGGCCCACGGCGAGGCAATATAATAATAATATCGCGTTATAGTTATGGCGAATGCGACAAGTCAATCCTGTAATGCGTTACTTAATAAAATATACTTATAAAATTGCTTGTTTTCTTTTTTTATTCGCGATATTCACTGCCGCACCTAAGGGTGTTTTTTTGTAAAAATATTTATCTGAATGTTTCTATTTAGCATTTAGTTAAACTTGACTAACCATTAATTACAACATTTTTAAGTGATTCATATTTGTCTGATTAAATTAAATTTAATAAATTCAAATTAAATTAAATTTTTAATTAATTAATTTTAAATTAATAACTTTACTCAAATAACTGCTAAATACTTGCTATCCACACAATTGCGAACGGTCCAGCCTCCTCACACTTAAGGGATAACGTCAGTGTCATCTGCGAAACGAACGATAAGACTCCCGTGCCCAGACATAACGCCCAACTCCAAGAATCTCCAGGCAACTCAAATACGCCCAAGATAAGAACAGCGGCCCCATTTTCCACCAGCTGAACCAGACCGGCCAGAAGGACGACAATTGTCCCGTTTAATGTTCTCAATCTTCTTAAAAATATGACCGCCACTGAGGCGAAAAGGACCCGACCTACCGCATAACTTGTCTCGATCTAGAAATACAACAAATATATTACTCACCCTCATACCAACTTGATTACTTGAGCTACTCAAGTTGAGTACCAAAGTATTCACGTCATACTCATCCTGCCCCGTGAGTATGGGCGGTTTCGCAATAAACGCGATGCCCGCTAGCGTAACCACCGCAGCGAGTGCGGGCACAACGCCACATTTTTCGCCCAGTGTGACATGCGCACAGAGTGCCACGGTGACCATCTGCATCGAACCGATGACCGATACGTCCCCCACCGGGATGTATTTTACTGCGTGGAAGTAACAAATTATTGCCGAAAATCCCATAGTGGACCGCCCCTAAAAATTGTAAAAAATATGTCACACCTAATCCCATTTTTTTGAATTCGCTTACAAATAGTAAAAGTAACATGATAAGGCTTGGCTTATCCGTAGGTGGCCAAATCTGCCCAAAAAGCGACGCCCCTTGCACCATATATCCTCTCAAAACTAGTGGCAGCGCGAACAGAAACATCCCACCGAATCTAAATAGACTCAAATTCAGCACGTGAGTCTCCTTAAGGTGTTTCGCGATTATTCCCGTACACGTGAATAGTACAGCGGAACAGATCGCTAGAAGAATTCCAGTGTAGCGATTTCTTGACCAAGATTTCTTGTGGGCCGTTTCAGAGACAAAGTCGGAAACTTCGGTGTCCCTTTTCACAGATTTTATGGGTGGCTGCGACATGTCGGAAATTCCTAGTGTTACTGCGCAAATATTTTGGCTCAGGATGGAAACCTTGGTCAATCTGTAAATTCTTTTACCCCTCCATTTACATTGCCACGTGTCTGATTTATGAATAGGACTTACTTGGGCCATCATATCAATGGTACAGTGTTGTTAAGTATTTAATCCAATTTAAATTAATTAAAACCAGTTTGTAAATCAGTCGCCAAAGTTGTGGCCGCTAAATATGTGTAGGCTTTGGTGGAATATACTGTCATCATTTTTTTTCGTGCAAAGTTGCCAGAAATTGACCAATTTTTATATATGATGTCTCTATATGAGTACAATTTACTCATCTCCGCTTAGCACATCTCTGACCCACTCTGCTCATCAAATTTTCGTAAATTGAGACTGAAACCATTAAATTCTACTCTCTGCCAAAACACGTTCCAGTTTCAGCTGAGATTTATCACAAATGCAAAATCTAAGAATTTCTTAGATTTTAGATTTCTTAGTAAGAAATCTAAAATTTATTTTATCCTGGCAACAATGCATACTCAGATTGCCAGACTTAGAACTGCTCCTTTAATATTTCAATCAAATACATGACAAAAGAAGTAATTTCCTTTCAAAAAAATTAATTCCAAACATATTTTATTACAATTTAAATATTTTAAATTTTCATAAATGTCAACCTTCTCCTAATTATTTTCCTAATGATTTACTGTAAGTAAATTTATTAATTTTATGAAATTCATCAATTAAAATCCCAGCAATTTCTCACCATTTCCCTCCCGTATTTAGCATCCCTGAACGAACGACCTTATCTCCATTCCAGACAAATCGAAGTCGTGCAGTATATCTGTTCCCGTAAAGCAGACCGAGTTTCCCGTAAAATCCTCATACCCCCTCCAGCTGGACTGTCCCGTGACGACCATAAATTTCGGAACAAATCCAAAATTGTTCGCCTCCGCGCCAGTAAAAGTTTGTTCCACCCCGCCCCAGATGGTGCCAGGATTCCCGTGGTAGATTGAAACGGACGGCGTCATCACTTCAGACGGTCCCGCATGCCGCAATGACATGTTGGAGGAAGGGCTAAATTGACACAGTGTTTTTCTCCATCGCTAGATGGTGGCGAATTGCCACCCACTGGCGTAATTTTTCCCATAGAACCCGTCCCAACTAGGAAACTGATTAAAGTTATATATCGTCGTACTAATTTTAAAATGAGCGAAGTGCATAACTTGCATAATTTTAAAATGAGCTAAGTGCACAACTTGCTTAATTTTAAAATGATCTAAGTGCACGTATATTCAATGTTAAATGGCTGCACTTAGCTCATTTCAAAATTAAGCAACTTGGGCACTTAGCTAATTTTAAAATTAAGCAACTTGTGCACTTAGCTCATTTCAAAATTAGTACGACGATATGTATTTCGATTAATAAAATTATAGATATTGTTTAGAAAAACATGACAACAATTTAAATATTACCGTTAATTAACTAATAATTCTTAATTATAAACTCTCCTTACTATCCTCTGGAGTTGAACGATTGCACACTCGCCAAGGTAGACTGGTGTGCCGTGAGATCTGGCTCTTTCGTTTGGAACGTCAACACAGGACCCCAACAGCCAAGTTCCGAGTAGAACGTAATCTCCTGCACGAAGCCAGAGCTACGGAAAGGCAGAGCGCAAAGGATACGAATTTTAGCAACATTTCGATAAAAATAGGGTTCTCTATTAAATCCTTGTCCTTGAGGCTTCTCTATGAAATTGTACCGATGAGTCTCGAAAATACCGACCACGTTTTATGCGGTACCAATTGCGCAGTTCATCTATAGGTTCATCGATAGGATTAACTATTTCCATGTTTGTCTATTTTATCCAAAAATTTATGCCATCGTTACTAGGATTTGAAACTAATCATAGGAAAAGGATTTAGATCAGGGCGAACAAATAAATAGATTCTTGGAATTTCCTAATCTTCTCAAATTTACACAGCCAAAATAAATACGCACTGCATGAATGATATACTGAAAATTAGTACAAAATACACCCAGTTCATTAAATGACCCACAAAAAATCCAGTCTCGTCACAATGCCGTTGCCACTATTTTGCTTTACTCATATTTCTTGACTAGTTTTTTCTAGGGTGACCTTATTTGTATTGGTGGCCATTGGTGGGATGTATTTAATTCTATCCTATTTTTTATTTATACAAACAAATCTACTAAATTTTTTATTTTACTAATTATAAAATATAATAATACGCAATCTTTGTTCAGGATTACCGCACACACCATCATGTCTGAGGTAGTCGTATAGACTTAATTGTCCAAAATTTAAGTCTAACGGAACCTCAATTATTGCTAAATATGTATTTACCTAATGCCCTCGAAAGTTAAGACGGACGGTGAAAAAAATTACCAAAAACTGGACCTCAGTTATGGCGTCAATAGTCTCGGGACCTTCCATTGTGACTCGATTCTCATACAAATATCGGCACAATATTGCCTTCGTGACAATTTACTTTTGCCACCCATCTACTAATATTTCGCCAAGTTAGTTCTGCGCATTAATTTATTCCATATTTTTAATCGTCACTTGAAACAAATATTTACGTACTCAATTTATTTACCTGCCTAATTTGTACCACATAAAATCCAATTTTCAAGCCCAACATTGGTTTTAGTTGATGAACTGAACGGGAAGAATTCCAGTCTGACAGTTTGGTTTCAAATTTTCATAAGAATAACATAAATTTTTAAACATGCAGATTTTGAGATTAGCCCTAGTTTTAGCAAGTTTGGTTGCCGCGCAGCCTTTCAGCGAGGAGGGGAAGCGATTGATAAAAGTGAGCGAAGATCTAGACGCAGTTTGGATGAGCGAGGCCCAGATTTTGGGGCTGATTGAGAAAAGGACGCATTTTATGGATGTGACTGACCACAATTTCCTTGCACGTGCAAAAGCGCGGGAAGAAGGTATTTTATACGTATAATTGGAATAAAATTATGCTGATGAACACTTGAAATACGGTACAAGGATTAGACAATTAGATAATCAGACATGTATTTCGTGGTAAAATGATGATGGGTAAAATGAGAACAATTGCACAAAAATATTATTACAGAGTACCAACTAGGTACATAAAGTTGGGGAAATTTAGCATTTTCTTTACAAGTTATGTTTTTTACAGAAATTCCAACCGCTCTCCGATTCCAGACCGTAGTAGATGAAGCCATAGCAAGAATTAACATCTCCCGCATGGAAAGCTTCGTCGATATCTTTGACGATTTTTCAAATCGGTACTACACCAGTGAGAGTGGGGTTGCCGCGGCGGATCGGCTCTTTACCCAGGTGGTGGAATCTATCGCATCAAGTGGGTATCAGGGGTCAGCATCGCTCAGTAAATACATCCACTCGTGGGCGCAGAACAGCGTCATCGCCTGGGGCCCCTCCCAGAGCCTCGGCTTAAATATTGACTTAAGCTAATCGGGAGTTGAGCGGAGTTTAAGTTGTTTTTTTGGTGCGTCCCAGAGCCTCGATTGGATTATTTTCGGATTCGCTTAACTTGCGATTAAGTTTAAACCAGTCTCAACTTATGAGGAGACTAAATCCTGCCATTGTGCAGCGCTAGTGCCACTTTCTTCTCAATGAGAGAGTCTCCTCCACCCACTAATTAATAAAGAATTCTCCACCAACACCGATATTAATTAAATAATAATGTCCACACCCTTCCTGAGGTGACAATAATACCCGAATTGTAAGTAATAATAATAAATTCTGTCGCCCTTTCTTCAAAATTAATAATTACTTTCATTTTGTACAGGAAAAGTCAGCCGATTCTATCATCACTCACACCGGTCACACTACCTAGTATGGTAAATTTCCCATTAATTTAAACTAAATGGTCTTCACTCATTAATGGTAGTGACTCATTTAGGTCCAGTCTCGTCTTCACATCTCACCATGACCGGCACAAATTAAATATTTCTAATCCTCCTCAATCATTTCTGTCCCCGCTTGATGCCCATTAAAATAATTTGTTCGTTATTGTCTCCGTACGTCCACCCACTCTTCTTCATGGTATAATAGCAATATAGCTCCCTTCCTCAATACCTACAGAAAAAGTAAAGTGTGTTCTAATCTTTACCTCGGATATAATGACCTTCCTCCTCTCATCATATCGTAAGTGAATATAATTTTTGCATCCAAATGGTCGTCACTCATTAAATATGGTGTTGCCTCATTTATTTTAGGATGAAGTCTCGTCTTCATATCTCACCATGACCTACGAATGAATATTTCTACTCCACCTTCCACCATAACTTGGCAATAAAAATGTGACAACTAAATTTCGAAGAATATGAGAAAAGGAGGTGTAGTGAAGGATGATGGGAGAGGTTAATCGTGTGTGTTTTGATTGCTATGTTAAGTTATAAAAAATTAATTCAATAAAGAGTTACAACCATATATATGAGTTACAACCTTTCATTATTTATTTAAAAAACTATAAATTCACAAGTATGCATTAACTTCAATAAATATATTCGTTATTCAATGAAAATTATAGTATATATTTTACAATTAAAATTTATATGTAGTTGTATGTATGTAGTTTATGTATGTAGTTATTATGTATGTATGTATGTAGTTATGTATGTTATATGTAGTTATCTTGTTCATATCCACTGTTGAAATTGAACTTGGGTATATTTTTGACGAAAGTATTTGATAGCAAATTCAGCTAGTTGTACTCAATTAATCGTAACAGTCCACTCATACATTTTGACCCGTAATTTATAATAAACACCTTCCGTGACTGATTTACTTATTTGTCCCTCAATCTTGTCAATATCCAATCAAGTATCTTGAACACCGTACAATGTCCTCTAATTTCACTGATACTGTATCTTGCAAATATGTACACTCTCTTATATAACCAATTTCTTATAAATAGTATAGATATACATAATTTCACCCCGAGCTAATGCTACGCAATATTGGAAAAATTTGCTCCACATGAAATCCCATGTCGTAATAAATTCCCTGATTTTTGTGCGATGGCCGGACTACCCATTAACGTGATAGTCCCACCAGCCGTGGCATATTAGAAGTGGCAGCATGCATAGATATTTTTGTAAGCCAACAGCACACAATTGTCGACAGATATTGCTCATTATTTCCGCCTCGTCATATTTATTCAGAGTGAGCAGTAAGTATAATTAAATATTTCAAGTTGAAATATTTATGGATAGGCAAACTGTAACTGTGCCAATTAGAGGATTTTGATTCTGATAGACTTGTCCATATCGTAAATGGTACACCAAACTTACGACAGTACCAACCAATTATTTTACTTAGAAATCAAACAGGTCATACTAAGTATTTACTGATTAGCACATAAATACATAAACTCTAAAACAAACAACCAAATAAACAAATTCCAGGAATTTTATAATCTACTCAAATTTGCACAAGTAAAATAACCAAGGGCCATCCCATCGTAGGGTGAATGATGCACGGTGCATCAGTTAAAAAAACAACTCAATTTTGTGTGACCCTGATCAGTTTGGAGTAAGAATGGCTTGTAGATATTGTAATAATTTGCAAATACTTTCCATCCTTACGTATGCATTTCCCCCCATTATCAGGATGCAAAAATCTCAAGTAAACTACGACATGAGGAGGTTACACTGAGCAAGAAACTTTCGGAATGATCACGCGCTCGCATTTTTTTGCCCGAAAATGTTTATGAGGACCGTTCACAAATTATGTAACAGGATCTGAGGTCGTACATCTTAAAATTCCCATCTCGTAACGGTCACCAAGAGGCTGGGAATTTTTTTGCGTCGCGTATTTTGTGAACTCTCCCAACTTCTAAAAATAAATTGTATTGCATCCCACTCCCCAGTGTATGGAGAGAAATCTGAGATGAATATTTATTTTCGTCGTCTAGAAATGGACGAGTTTTTTTTCGTAATTTATCTAAGTACCGGTAGAAATTACCGGTAAAAATTACCGGTAAAAAATATTTTCTGAGAAAATGTTGATCGAAATCTTATTAGCGTGCCTCGTGCAGTATATAGTTTCCTTTGTGGCATTAATAATAGTAGGGATTGGTTTTGTGAACTTGTGCTATTTATTGGTTTCCATCCAGAGGGTTAGTGACTTTTTAAAATTTGAGAAATTTGTAATACTTTTTTTATTTTGTGGAAATTGCCTACAGTTGGATTACAATCGTGACGAAGAGTTAGGAAAACTTCCTCCTGGGAGGGATTCGTTTAAAAAACTCTTGAATTTTGGTGTCACGCTGGGAGTGATTTTGCTAAACGGGTATATTTTGTGTGAAATAATTTTCTCGAGAGAAATGGCCGAGACAGATTTTATGACCACAATTTGGCTCGGACTGGTCGACCTGGCCGTGTCTTTGGGGGCATGCGCAATTCAATTGTGATCAGTGGGGGGTGTACGAAAGCAGTCAACTTAATGATGTGACTTAATTGTGAACTTTTACGGCAAAAATACCCTCGTAGTGAAAAAAGTTGGGATTTTTCCTCCTGCAAATGAGCATTGCCCACGGAACGGTATGGGGTCAACGACCTCCGAGAAATTTGTGAGTCCCGCTCATTTTTAAATCTCCTGATCAAATTATGTTGGTGCCCTCCTTGCTTCCGCGGCCCGTGCAACCGGGGAGGTGGACGAGTGCCAAAAATAGCTAAAAACCGACCAGATGCACCAGTCACAGATTTCACATTGACAGGCTTTTCCGAGCAGTTGTGTTAAAACCGGGAGAGAAATCGGGACCGATTTTGTCAGAGTAAATAAGATATTTTGATTTTCAAAACTTTTTAAGTTTCTGAGGAAACATGTTCTGGAACGTGCTGACCTACGCGTACAACACGTTGCTCGTCATCTTCATAGCGACACATCTCCTCGTAGGTGCACACGTAAGGATGTGGAAGTGAAATTTCTTTTTGCAAAATTTTATACAAATTTTTTTTTCAGATTTCGTTCCTGGTCGGACTCTACTTGGGGATTTATTTGACGCAGAACTATGCCGTGAGTTAGAATTATTTTTAAAAAATTTACAAGGTTATTTGGGATTATTTTGACCAAATTTTGGATGCGTTTTTATTAAATTTTGTGTGGTAAAAAGTTGCTCTGAGAAATTTTTAACATTTTATAACTCTTCTTGTACGTTTAGGTTCCTCGAATTACGGAGCCGTCCGCACTTTATGAAAAAATTGTCCGGTTTTTGGAGCAACATCGCCTACGGGGTCTTCGTCCATCGGGAATTATAGAGCTGATTAAGGACGACGAAACTATTGTGGAAGGCACGCTGCACGTCAATACGAGAAACGGGGGGGGAAGGATCATCGCATTTTCATGCAGAGTGAAGTTAGGACCTGGGGGGATTTTTGATACCAAAAGTATTAATGGTTTCTCACTTTTAAAATCGAAGGGGAGAATAAATATGTATCAGCGCAAATTTTGAAATTAGCTATGGAATTATTCAAGTACGATTTTAATTAAGCAGATTTCATATCAATAAATAATTTTCAAATATTTGCAAATATTTATTTTCCGTAATTTTGTATGGAATTTACAAAGCTGAATAAAATACATATTTATGCATAGAACGGACATAAAGTACTGGTGATAAGTTTTAAGTGTGGCTAAAAATAACATTAGTGGGTATTTTCTGAATCCAACAATTTCGCGTATGACGAATTGAGAAGAAAACTAATAGAAAATGGAAACCTAAACTAAAGTTTGAGGTCAGCAATAAACATAACCCATTGCCCAACCTGTTGGATACTTGGACCAAATTTATAAATAATTTTGTGCCCTCCAACCGATCGTCCTTTTCCCAACTCAGGCATTCTCTGGGTCAATTTTGTCAAAAGGGTCTGCACAAGTAAGGCATTTGCGTATCCATTTCCTCAATAAAGTGGGTCGGGTAATCTTTTTTGTGAAGTCGGAAACAGTACGATTTAAACCATAGGCAGAACAATGCATCGGCTTCATAGCTGAATTAAAAATAAAATCTCAACAGGATACACTTTATACCAAGCCCAAGTTAACCTCGCTTGGAAATAAACCATTTTCTGCACTTACTCACGGTTTTTAGTTACTTTAAAACTATCATTTTCAAAATAATTTCTACTAGATCTTCACAATTTCAAACGAATCTACCTCCTCGTCCCATCTTCAATCTACTAATGAAATCCAATCCAGACAAGAAGTGGGAATGCCCCCAGTGCTTCAAAAACTTCAAATATAGATACCATCTCCGTCGCCATTCCGTCACGCATGAGGTCGCTGACCCCGTCAAGTGTGAGGTAGGTTGCTAATCCCCCAGTTTAATCAAGTCTAAAATTTATCCACCATTTTTCAGATTTGCGGCAAAACCCTGAAACATCTCATTGCGCTACGACCCCATTTTTTGAACTCACACCGGAACAAACCTAAATTACCTTGTCCAATTTGTCACCAAAGCTTTGCCAGTGCCACTACTCTACGCCGGCACACAAGAACTGTTCACTCTACGACGGAGCGGGAACGATTCCCCTGCTCATTCCCATCCTGTGAGATAAAATTCTCGAGGAAAGGTGGCGCTGAGGAACATTTCAGGGTGTTCCATTCCGAAAATCCGACCCGGTATTCGTGCACCTTATGCAGGAAAGGGTTCAAGTCTAGACACGATCTAAGCTGTCACATTGCCACTCACACGACCGAGAAGACGCACAAATGCTCCACCTGCGGAAAGAGTTTTATCGTGAGGAAGGCCTTGAGGAGACACGAGGTCTGTAATTTAAATTAGACAAAGTTATCAATATTTCATTTAGATCACAATTTAACGGATCTTCGGCCAAATTCAAAACAGAAATTTTGCCGCTGTCTCGTATAACCCCGCCCCAACTGACATATCCACGCTCGCATGTTCGTCCATCTTCCAAAAAAATTCGAAGATGGGCGATCATGCGAGCGTGGATATGTCGGTTGGGGCGGGGTGATACGAGACAGCGGCAAAATTTCTGTTTTGAATTTGGCCCAAGATCCGTGCACTTGATATTAATTTAACAACGCTACTTCTTCTAGTTCACTCACATAGAGAAATCTCACCGACAAGTTTGGAGATGCCATATCTGTCCTAAAACGTTTTTGACCAGTCACGGGTTAAAACGTCACCTCCAGGGGAGCCATGAAAACCAGGACAAGATTAGTTACCCTTGCACATTTTGCGAGAAAAGGTTCAAATGGTGGGCCGGGTTGAACAATCACCTCGTAGTGGCGCACCCAGCGAGGGATGCTCCTCTCCAACACTGTCACAAATGCGAGTACAAGACCTACTCCAAATATTATTTAGCCAGACACATGAAACGCCACGGTGTCAAGGGACATCAATGCTATTTTTGTCGAAAGAGATTCCACACTTTTCCAGAGTTAGTTGGACATTGTGGAAGAATTCATAATCTTGAGAGGTAGAAATTTATAAGTTTGTACGCAATTAAATCTCACTATCCACCGCAAATAATGTCTAAAATAGAGAAGCCACCATCCATACTTATGATTTGCAAGCATACCTGTTCACATTCATTCGAATAGTACGAAATAAATAATGAATGAGTGAAAAATTCATTAAATAAATGAATAATGAATGAATAATTTCTCATTTCAGAATGAGTGATTGGATTTTTTATTCATTAATTTTTTGCCCTATGCTTAATACATGGGGTGAATACAGAATGAGTGAATAATTCATCAGTATGAAGGAATTTTGGATGAATAATTTAAATTGAATGTTGAAATGAATGAATTTTGAATGAATAAAATTTTTTTGACCAGGTATGTTTGCAACACTAAAAATAACCGGTCTATGATGCTCTATACGATAGAGTCTATCGGCCTGGTTTGAGCGAAAACTAATTATCTAAGTTTGCCATCAAACAAAGAGGTAATGTTCCACGAACATACAAATTGATTCCTGATAAATAAATATTATCAAATCTTATCAAATTTACACAAGCAAACTACGCACTCTACCATCCTATGGTCCGTACATTAAAATTAAAGCCAATTTTTGTTCACACTGTAAATTTTGAAATTCAAAAACTCCGTCATTTCTGGACCGACTTTAAAATTTAAAAATATCTTTCAAAAGTATTGATCCATTTTGTATAATAAATCCGGAATTTTGAAAATCTGCTCAGAAATCGTGGAGTTTTTGAATTTCAAAATTTAGTGTTAACAAAAATTGGCTTTAATTTTAATGTACCGACCATAGGATCGATGACGAATTAAAAATCAGTGTAAATGCACCCAATTCATTAGCTAACTCAGAAAAAACCTCGTCACAATCTCGCCATTATTTTCCTCTTCCACCCAACTACATTTCGCGTCTGTATTTATTCATTTAAATTTTTTGCAACACAAAATTTAACAATAATTAAGATTTTAAATAAAATAACGATATAAATATATAATTACCCCTCTTCATTCAAATCACCTAAATTTAACTGATGCACAACTCACCGCCAAAAGTAAACCAAAAATTGTCTCACTCAACCCCAACCTATTCCCGCTACTGGGTCTACCCGTCGTAGATCTTATCCTCTCCCTGCATTCAAATCTTACCGCTCCAACCTGCATTCTCGTCCTTGGATTTACCGTAAAACCATACTCACTCCCTCCCAACGTATCATTTAGACAAGTCCCTTCCGTCTCATTTCTTACTTTCAAAATTTCCCAGACATTTTGCCCCGTGAAGAAATACGACTGCGCCTCTATCGGCTCCTTATACTCTCTCCCCCTTTCATCCACCAAGAAACGTTCCCCCTTAAATTCTGGCTCGCTGAAAAAAGTGAGCTCTGTCTTGACCTGATTTACGTCCCCGAATCGCGTGAACAGAAATCGTGTATAATTTTCCCGCTCTGGAATCAGCTGGTAACAATTTTCGTCTAATTTTCCACTTCGAACCTCCCGCAGGTAGCAGGTCAAGTAATTTTCTCTGCAGAGTTCAATGGTCCATCTAAACTTAAAAAAATCTATTTTAGATTCTCAATTAACTTAATTTTTAATTTATTTTTAAACTTACAATCCTTCCACGCGATAACTAACTCCTGGCAAGTAATCAGTGATAAGGTACGTCACCTCAGTGGTCATATTAGAGATCGGATTTCCCCCACAGTTTGTTGAATTATACAAGGAGGCAAATTGTTCTTGTTGGGCTATCACATTATTAAGGCGTAGAAAAAAGGTTACCAATATTTTGGCCAGAAAGAAGACACGATAAATTGTAATGGGATGATTCATGACGAAATTGTGCAGGAGGGAGTTTATCTAAAATTGTGACTGAATTGACCAACGTTGAAATGATGACTGCACAATTTATGGGAAATATACCAATTTAATGAACAACAGGATGTGACCCAACAGCTGGGATTGTGCCCATTTGCCGATAAGATTTGCCAGTGTATAATTAAGTGATAAGATAGTGAAGCAGTGTATTTGTCTTCTGGTGGCAAATATTGCAGTACAGACCGTAATAATATTTTAAACTATAGGTTTCCCCATTTAGTTCGGACTAATTGGTATGTTTAACTTTTAACTTTATCAAAGACTTCCCAGAAGCCGCTTAAATTTCTTCAATTCATTATAACTTTCTAAATTTTCTAGACTAAATAAAATCCTGTAATTTAAAAAACGCCTTTATAAAGTTGCAACGATATAGTACTGGCATTGTGCACACCAGTACTACATCGTTGGTAATACTCCACCATATAGATAAGTTGTCGTTGTGATGTGAATATGAAGGAGTAGTAATCATTATGATTACTATACTGGCTTCACAGTAAAGTATGAATGTACAGGGTTGGATGGAATCTCAATGAGTCATCCATACATTTAGAAGTGATCACATAGGTGATTACATACAAACCCTGTATATTTACTTTAAAAGTGATCACATACTCTTTACTGGTTACATAGGACCTTAGAGAGGTTACATAGGGAAATATATATGGAGAGGATATCATAAGAAGAGGGAGAAGAAATTCAAGAGAGTAGTTTTGGGATTCGAAGAGTGAACATCAGGTTCTCTTGAATCCGCGAAATTAATTTAGAAAATTTATAGAATAGCTCTCCCAATAATTTAAGTTTATAAATCAGTAGCTATTTCGTAGAATAAGTAATTTCTAAGCATAGTGATTTAATATGCTTCTGTAAATATAATTTCGGCTTTAAATAATAATCAATATTTCAATTTTGTTTAAAATAGTGTCTTCGATTCTTCTTTATTTGCACAAAAGGTTAAATAAAGGGGCGTATTCACTGGATATGCGACCCAGGGCATGACACATACCATAAGAGTAGAAGTGGGTGTGTTACAAAGTACGATATTTACGTCTACTACGACGCTAATTTCTAAAAGAATGAACATAAATAGATTTAAAATAAGTACCCCTACAATTTCTTTTTTCAAAACACATTGCTGTCACTTAATGTATCGTTAAGAAAATTACCATTTCTTAGACTATATTCCTAGAAATTTTGAACTGTAAAAAATAGGATTTGATAATTATAAGCCCGCTGAAGCCAGCACCAAATTCACCCATTTTGTACCATTAAGTCGGATTCTACCCCGATAAGTACTTATCCTTTCTACAATTTCTTTTCAAAACGGGTGAGCCTGATACTTGCATGATCATCTCTTGCAAATACATAAACTAAACTAAAGTGACGCAAAAATGACATGTACTTATGCCAATATTACTGCTAGCTTATCTATTTTTGATAAGCCTGTGGACGAAGGCTTAATTTATTATCATGATATGATAAGGCACACTCCGAGAACATTCAGTCGCGTTTTTTAAAGATCACAGAAAAGTCACGCTTACATTTACCAAATTCTCCAACCTAGTGTTATCAATTGATAACCTAAATATCTCTATGCCAAGTAGTACATCCATAAATTTTATATAATTCTTATCAAGCCTCGTTTTTGCTATGTGGACAAAACTCAATTAGTGGTCAATTAGTTGCTGTTTATTTAAATCAATCACTTATTAAATCCAAAGTATTTCGACGATTAATTCGCCCTTGTAAATACGTAATCCATTAGGATGTCCAGCGTAAAATAAATTTAACAGAAACTTTTGAGACACCGTTTTTGCCGTGTTTATTAAATAATTGATAATGGGAGGAATTCAAGATCTAAAAAAATAATTGTCATAATAAATCACTTACTTACGTACCAATTACGAAAATCTGACCATCAATCCAGTTCATTTTAGGTTGTCGAAATTTATAAGGGGAAATTCATTCATATGGTATGGGCATTAAAATTAGAGACAATTTTTGTTTACGTTGTAAAATTTTAAATTCGAAAAATCAGCCATTCCTTAACCAATTTTTTTAAATTTTTAAGATTATATTCAAAATGGATCAGTAGCTATCGAATAAAATTTGAGTTTTCAAATCGATTAAGAAATGGCCGAGTTTTCGAATTTTGCAAGGTGTACAAAAATTGTCTCCAATTTTATTGCCCATACCATAGTAACAAATTGAATTTTTTGTTATTTAAAACTTGCTATATTATTTATACTTGCTACGAAAGAAACGGTTTTCCCTTTGCGTTTATTCGAATTATTTAAATCTATATTGTGTATTCTTTATCTAAAGTTGGCCTAAATTCCTTTGTTTTTTTGAACCATCGGGTTCGGTCAAGTACAGAGGGCTAGATAAAAATATTTTGTTTAATTGAGCAGCCTTTCTCATATGAAAAACCAAAAATTTAGTGATTTTTATACCTTAAATCATCCAATTAAGTTAAAGAGGGTGACACGACTAGCAAAAAATAAAATATAGCATGCAAAAAGGAACGTATCGCCATTGCACTGCATTAAGCACCACAAGGCATACAAGGTACAAGGTACTACAAGGCATACCACAAGCTTCATAGCTAAGTTTTGAGATTTTTTGAGTTTTTACATAACTATTGACGTCCGTATTAAACACTTACCTACCAGAATTATGATTCCATTGTTTCTATTTTTTATTGTTCACTTCTTTCCTCGCTAACCTCGACATTCTCCCCGTCATTCGCCACACATATTTATTGTTTGTCATCCTCGCACCATGTTTCCCAGCCGGACTATCGCGATTTTCCTCTTTTTCGCCCTAATTATTCCGCAAGATTCGGTAAATGCTACTTTATTTAATTTCCTCAAAAAATTCGACATTGCCTACATACATTGCCACGCTGTGCTTGTTAATTAGACATGCAAAAGGTTTGATGTCAACAAATTCATCGAGGAACACTCAACTTGCAATGGGGATGCTCTTGTCTCACCACCTGACTGGATTCCTAAAGCTCTCCTGGCGGCCACCAACTGCTTTGATGTCACAACGGAATACGTATGCAACAAATTTCTATTCCCGTAATTTTTTGAAAATTTTGAAACTTTTTCTCCCATTTGGCAGTGTTCCGAACTATGTTTAGCGTTCAACATCGATGGGTTCATTTCGGGAAAGAAAATTGACACGAAATGGATGAAGAAGGAGGCCAGGAGGTTGTCAGTATCTTCAGCGAATGAAAAGGCGAAACAGCGTCTGATAGATGCGGTGGATGTGTGTACGAAACCGAGTACGCTATTTTTTTTAGCCGAGACGAAGTTTATAATCTAAGGGTATTCTGGATCAGAAATTCTGATTTGTTTATGATTTATTTTAGATTTGGAATATATAAGGCCAACTTCTGACACGACATCATGCCCGGAGTGGAAAAAGTTCGAGGATTGTATGGATGACGCATATAGCGTCGCCTGTAATGGTAAAAAGCCAAAATCGGGTGACGAATTCCTGGATGAATAAGAATTAGATATACTTCAGGTTTGATGATTACGGATTTGTGTACCGATTTAGATTTCAGTCTGGTTAAATAAACGGGAAGCATAAATTTATGTAATTAACGAGCATATTCATCATAATCGTCATAAACGCGGGATAGGTTTGGTAGGCGGGAGCTCAAACTCGTTGAAATTCGTCATCAACATTTTGGCGTTCTGAGATTTACAGATTGCCTGTTGTAATAAATACTTTTGTAAAAAAAGGATTTTTAGGTTCGGAATCGCGGCTAAAAGTAAATAAATCCTTTTGCAAAAAAAGGACTCTTAGGTTCGGAATCGCGATTAAAAGTAAAAAACAAGCGTATGGCATTACAGAGAGTGATTACAGATTATAAGAACACTATTTATTTTCGAAATTGTAAATACAATTTACGTCTTTGAATAGTTTTAACATTTCCTATGTGTTCACCATCCATTTTGCCAACTATCCATAGACGTCGCTTCCATGCTGCGTACACATTTTGGCACATTTCCGGCATAATTGCAGTCCATTCCTTATTTAGAATTTTCCAAAATCGGTAAAAATAGGAGCTTGTCATAAGAAAAATCGTTGTTTGAGGTATCCACCTCCAAAAAAAAATCCTGGGACTGTTTGGTTATCCAGTGTTCCAGAGGTATTTCCTCGTTACTTATCAAAGAAACTCCAAGATTTGCATTCAGTTCCGCTGCGTAGGGCTTGGGTGAATTGGGCGGTGTGAGACGACGCGACTCTTGATGGACATATACTTTCCCAGCTCACCAGGGAAGAAAGATGATTTTTTTCCTCCAACAACTTAGGATTTACTTATTCTTCGCTCGTTTACGTGATTCTGTTCAATTTTATTCTGCACTAGCAGACCTCCACCTTTAGGAAATAAATCGGATCCATTAGATATATTAGTTTCGAAACAATGCTAAAATTACTGACTGGTATGCATTCTACATGTTAACCATCCATTTTCCTCAGGATTTAGTGTTTCTGCGCTCGTTTACGTGATTCTGTTCAATTTTATTGTGCACTAGCAGACCTCCACCTTTAGGAAATAAATCGGATCCATTAGGTATATTAGTTTCGAAATGATGCTAAAATTACTTACCGGTATGCATTCTACTTATTAACCATCCACTTTCCTCAGGGTTTACTATTTCTTCGCTCATTTACGTGATTCTGTTCAATTTTATTGTGCACTGGCAGACCTCCACCTTCAGGAAATAAATCGGATCCATTAGATACATTAGTTTCGAAACAATGCTAAAATTACTGACTGGTATGCATTCTACACTACCATCCCACATTTGACGCATTAACATAATTTGCTCTTCCTTCCGAAGATTGTGCCGGTGGTGATGATAACCATCTTGGCCATCCAAGTTGGTATATTTTTCATAATTAAAGATGTCCTTTCGCCACTGGGTTGACAAAGACACTCTCTTCTTCGCAAAACCCAAACTGGCAGTTTCTGCCAATGACGAAGTGGTGGTTTAGTCCTGATTTTTTGAATTGACGCATTTGTTTGTTGAGGTCTTCAATAGCTGTTGATAAGTTGCTGGCACATCCAATCCCATCTTAAAATTCGGCGTTCCTCACGTGGCGTGACCACTTTAGATGGGCTTCCCATGGGTACCT